AATCTCACGCCTGGACTCGGTTACTTGTACTTGTACTACTTCAGGACCCCCACCATAATCTTTGAGAGGATGCCTAAGTCGCAACAATCAACCGGGCTGGGTGGTAGTAGTTGTAGTAGTCGTCGTTGTAGTAGTAGCAGTAGTAGCAGTAGAAGTAGCCGCAGCAGCAACAGCAGCAAAACCGCAGCACTTGTAGCAGCAGCGAGAATAGTAGCAGTGTTTCTAGCAGCAGCAACGGCTACTGTGATGTTGGTGGCGAGACTGATAACAATCGGAGCAAGCAGGGTGAGAAACACGTTTGTGCCGCTCTCTTCTCAGCTGTAGCCGCTGTCAAGGAGAGCTTGTTTTTTTCCGCGCATTGAGGCGACAACTGTTCACACAACCAAAAGTAATTGTAAAGCCATTTGCTCATGGCAATGGTCTGGCCCAGAAGAGGCAGTAGCATGATAAGCAGTGATGCAGGATTAGCAAATTGAGAGCTACACCCGCAGTACCATACTAGTAGACTAGCAGGAGCATCGGCAGCAGTGTTGCTAGTCGTGTTCCTGTAGCAGTTGCAGCAGCGTCGTAAATCCTAGTAGACATAAATATCATAAATTAACATGATCATACTACGTACATTCTAGTAGTGACTGGGCAACACCTTCAATACGGCAGCCGAAATCCAAGATGAGGATGAGACAAGTGAAGGCCCGACAAACAGGTTGGCGAACGCGATTGCTGAACTCCAGAACTGCTGGTTGATTGAAGAAATCGAGATCCAGCACCTCTGAGGCAGGAATTTCAACACTGCTGCACAAATGCCAGGCTTTGCGCACCTCCCATGCTGTGCCCCAAGTGAGCGAAAGCGAGCCCAGAGGAACTTCCGTCATCGCCTCGGTGCCCTCTGTTTCCACCTTGCGTGGCAGCAAGGAGAGTTCTGCAGAAACAGAACCACAGATACATGTTTGGAGGCTCCGCTCTGAAAGTCTGGCAGGAACGGTGACATTGGTGCCAGTTGTAGATAGCATGGCAGGTGGATTTGGAAGCCTCAGCAGGGCACCAGACATGCATGTTGTTTGCAAGTGCTTTCAGAAAAGCTCATGCATCAACAGGGCCCCACACTGCAAGTCATTGAGCAGAACCCACCTTATCCAAAGCTCGGTTGACGCGCTTGAAAGGGAACAGCGTAGCAGAAGGCCCAAAAAGCACGAGGCATCGTTGATCATGGCTGGCTAACAACAGAACACTAGCTGTGCGGGGAAGGGTTCTTCGCCGGCTGCTCGAGATTCAACTTGCAAGCATCTGCCCGCCAGAATCATGATGCTACACCGCGATGTGTGAAGGCACATGGCGTTACAAATCGGTGAGGTGTTTGGGTTATCAGCTTACCATAGGGAAAAACTTGCACCACGGCTTTGGACAGATGAGCGCCTGGCTCCTTCACAAAGCTGGACCACCTCAAGAAGTATGGTCCACTGCGCAATGCAGCCACACATGAGCATCTTTCCGAAGAGACTACTCAAGTAAAGCTTGCAGCTACTCTGGGACCATGTATAAACCCTATATAACCCTATATACCCCTCTAAAGAGACCTCAATAGGGTCTCCATTTTCTTTTCCGTTATCCCAGTATAACCCCAATATATACTATAGTAGTATCCATGTTCTTTTCCATGAGCCCTATATAATCCCTAAACCCTAAGCCCTAAACCCTATATAACCCAGAGAATAATGGTTTCCATGTTCTGGTCCATTATCCCTATATATACCCAACCCTAGCTGCAAAACCCTAAACTATAGTAGCTTCCATGTTCTTTTCCATTATCCCTATATACCTTAGGTGGACCCCCCCACCCTGTAATAGTGACTATAAGGGATAATAAGGATTAGGTGAGGGGTCCTCCTAATAGATACCACACAACACAACCCTAAACCCTAAGCCCTAGACCCTATACAACCCACCGTATAGTAGTTTCCATTTTCTTTTCCATCATCCCCATATATCCCCTATATAACACCTATACAAGCCCTATATAAACCCTACATAATCCCTCTCTAATCCCTATAATCCCTATAGTTTCCATGTTCTTTTCCGTTATCCCTGTATACCCTAAACCCTATATAACCCACAGTATAGTAGTTTCCATTTTCTTTTCCATGATCCCTATAACCCAATATACCACACAACACAACGAAGACCGTAAGCATGCTTCAGGCCCAGACCCCACCGTGTGGGCGGGATCTTCGAGTCCAACCTCAAACAGCCTCAGTCGATTGGGGTATAACATAGGGTTTTGGGTTTAGGGGTTAGGGTTTAGGGTTTGGTAGTGGGATAATGCCCCAATAATGGAGAATCAAATGGAAAAGAACCTGGAAAATGAAATGGAAACTGGGATGATTTTGGGTTGTATTGGGGTTATATTGGGGTAACAGCCTAGGGATTACATAGGGGTATAATATGGGGGTATAATATGAGGGATAATGGAAAAAGAAAATGGAAACCATTATATTGATATATTGGAGTTATATAGGGGTTACATAGGGGTAATGGACAAAAAATGGAAACTACTATAATGGGGTTATATAAGGATTATACTGACAACCACAGGAAGCGCAGATTGCAACTGGAAGCGTCATCTTCTAGCACAGGTTGCAAGGGCCATATTGTGGTATTACCACTATTTTACTCCTATTATTCCTTTTACTAGTATTATCACCCTAAACCCGAAATCCTAATATTACTACTGGTATTACTAGTATTAATATTACTACTATTATTATTCTTATGGTAGGTGCTCAGACCGCTGCCCATAGACGGAACCCTGCGTGATCATCTCCTGCGAGTACATATAATCCCTATATAACCCCACTCCATGATCCCTATATAACCCCCATATTACCCTAATAAAGCCCTAATATAACCCTAATATAACCCCAATATACTATAGTAGAAACCCCTATATAACCCCAATATATCAATATAATACCCTGCGTGCAACATGAGGTTCATATCGCCGGCACAAGTGCAAATGTCTAGCTGGATCGAGCTGAGTAGCGTTTTTTGGTGGTTAAACCTAGTAAGATTATATTCCTTATATAAAATACTATACCCAAAAAGAGGATAGAATCTTACTCTTTATTGGGTACCATATTATCCCCAAATAAAATACTACTCAGCTGGTCATGGTGCGTCAAATGACAACTTCAACCCTGCAGTCACTGAGAAAGCACCAAGTCCTTGAAGGGGTCCACGTTGCTTGATCCTGATGCGTATAGTCAGCAGTTTCCATGTTCTCTTCCATTATCCCTATAGATCCCCCAATGTATACCCTATCATTATCTAGTAGCTTCCATGTTCTTTTCCATTATCCCTATAAAACCCCGACATATATTATCACGGGCCAACAGGCTTGGGAGTCATAGCTTGGTGGGCGTGAGCTGTGTTAACGATGCAGTCCTGAGCAGTTGAAAGTGGCGTCAGAATCCAAGTGAAGCAGATACCGCCTCAGCAAATTGCTTCTCAAGTCCCACAAAGCGGGCACGGGCGCTCCGCAACATCCCCCCAGCAAGTACGTCACATGAAGTTCCGGGCTTCTTGAAGCCTTCTAAGAATGTCACGTTCGCTGGAAGACAGGGAGTTCCAGCACGTTGGAGCTTTGAAAGCGGCACATGTGACGATACCCTGCCTGCCAGGGCAGGAGCAAGCACTTGAGTTTAACATACTCTGGATGGCGGAAATCTTGTGCCACACTATTTATCCTTCGAATTACACTACGTTGAGCATCCTGAGCGGTGCCAAGTTTACCCCACCCACCGTAGCAGCAGATCCTGCACTTGCCGGCTATGCTGGGAGCCTGATGCCGTCGTGGCTTTGCTCGGCGTATCTGCGGCGAGTCTGCACGTGTTGCATCCATCCACATCCTCGTGGCTTCGCAAAAGGCTCACATTCTTTGGTGACTTGATTTAGCTTGTTGTCATTGCATTTTTGGCAATTGGCTTTAGAAATAGAGGACTTATAACGGCTTGCTACTTGAAAAACTTAAGCAGGAATTTGCAGAATGAAGCCAGGGTCGGTCAAATTTGGGCAATAATTGGAAAAAATAATCATGCGGCGAAACTGCTAAGACTCGTTAGACATTCCAGAATTAGGAAAGCCTTTGAACAGTTGGTCCTGGGGTAGGGATGCGATAGCAATCAAGCAAGGAGTTGGGAAATTGGTCAGCAATTTGATTGACACTGGCTGAAGATTGGTCATAACCAATTAGCGTTTGGGGAACATGTGTCTAGGTTGGGAAGGTAGAACAATGAGATTACAGAGCGGGGATTGGGAGACTGGTTTCACTGCGTTACTATCCGAGAATAGTGGTGCATGTTTTGAGGAAGATGTTTAGGGAGTTGACCCACACACTAGTTCGGGATTTGATACAACATGGTGATTAAGGGCATTTGCAAAATTCGTCAGGAGATTTTACAAAGGTATTGGAGAACCGGTGAAGGATTGGAGAAAATACAGGGTGGGAACTTGAGACACCGTGGCAGCGACACTGAAGGAGCTTATATAGAACATGCCCAAATTGTCGTTGGAATCATTTTCATGTGGTGTATGTTCTTCGTTGTGATTGGCTTTGGCTAGGTGCTCGGGAAATCGATGACATGCAAGACGACGGGGCAGAGATTTGAAAAGCGGTTAGGGGTCGAGGTTTGGTAAGATTTGGGACATACCAAAAATGAAAAAACCATGGAGAAATTTTGGAGCAATTTGGGAAGGGTTGGAAAATTGATCAGGGGTTCAACAAATAAACGGTGAATGAAGCGTTTGGTGTGAAAGGTTCGAACAACTGCTCAGGGTTTGTGGAGGCAGGGAAGGGTTTCTTCAAATTTCGGCGTGGTGGCCAATCCAAACAAAAATCACCAAAAATGCAAGGCATGTTATAGCATGGTGTAGTCCTCCTCACGAAGGCTGGCAAGTGGAAGAAATTGGCTTGAATTCTCAACCAACAACCTAGAGTTCAGCTGAGATCACGGCAGATCAAAGCGATCTAACTTCACCTGCAAAGTGCCATTCAGTTGAGGACACTACAAGGACCACAACGCACACTGAAATCCTGCCTGCCCATCTCCAAACTTCACCCTTTGGAATGCATCCGAGACGTCCATGAAGCGGAGGTCCATTCCTGGTAGCTGCTGTTGCAGTGGATACTCAGGCAAGCCAAGCCCAGTAAGACTCCTTTAATCTTCAGATTCGGCTCCGCAACTGCCTTCAGACAGCAGATCTGAAAGCTCCGCTGTGCTCTGAGTGGTGCACCAGGAAGGGCTGCCGTTCGAACGACGTCCATCCACATCAGAAGATCTTCATCGGTCGCCCCCTCCATATGCCTCACCCACAGTTTGCACAATGCTGAAGCGTAAAAGGAAGAGCCAATGTACGACAGCTTGCCGCAAAAGCCGCGCATATCTGCACTTGTCAACCATGCGCCGGGCCCAGTATGAAGGATGTACGTTGGATACTCCTGCCTTGGCGACACGAACGGTCTGCACAAGCTTAATCAAGTTCGCTGTTGCTGCAGCAATCTCTTGAAGAGCGAAGACACTTGACAAAGACGATCAGGACCATATTCTGGCTTCTGGAACTACTGCCATGTTTCTGCCCTCTGCAAGACATGTCTCTAAATCCTGTGTTGACAGTGCTTGGCACTCGTCCTTGGTGCTACAGAGCATTTAGCTTCTGCGGAGTCGGAGGGGGTGCAGGCGCCTTACATCCGAAAGGTGAAACAGGCGGGCTGATTGGACTCTGCGCAGGCGGCCTGAGTTGACTGAACTTCTTGGGGCAAGAAACTGCTCCAACGCCAGTGACTTGCTGGATCTTGGATCCATGCTAAGTGATGTTTCGCAATGCTCTACCCTAAGAGACGGGAGACTAGGGCCGCGGCCGCAACAGGAAGCCTTCGTTGACATGGTCCATCGTCTCACCCTTCTTTGGGGTGGAAATCCCGTAGTGCTCCGCCAGAGCATGGTAAAGCTGTAACACTTGCATGGCGCCAACAAAGCTGTCACGCTCATCCTTCCCGGTGAAGATAAGTAACCAGGTTTCCATCCGCTCCGAAACGAAGGTTGCGGCTTTTCCCACTTCAAGAGATGCCAATTCAGCTTTTGGCATGATGGCGGAGGTCTCCGCATTCTGCGGATGCAAGTTCCTTATGTTGGAGCGACAGAGCATTTCCTGCCGATCGCTCCCATCAATTTGGGCTCTGAGCTCCTCGATGTTTGCAAACAGCAGGTCTGCAAGCGTCACGCATCGGCCAGCCAGTCTGCAGCCAGGCGGCAAAAAGAGCAGCTCGGTCCTTATTCCACCAGGCAGCATGCACGCAACAAAGGCTGAGAGTAGGTCTTGTCCTCTAAAACCATGCAAAATAGCTATGCTGAAGTCGTTCGTGAAGTGCATCTACTCTGCCCACACAGCCATAGCTGCAGGTAAGCTACCTTCAGCTGGTATTGGGCGGCCAGGCGGTTGCCGAGCGGTTGTAGACGCATGGCGAAGCAATCCTGTCCTGTAAGACTAGATGACGTTTAGATCGTTTAGAAACATCATTCACAGCCAACCATCAGGAAGCCAAACGAGATGCAACAAGGACGGGACACCTGCCGCCGAAGCTCTGCGAACCTGCATCGCTAAGCATCGCTCATGTTGTAGCAAGTCGCTATCCATCCCCTGATGATCCTGGTGCACTATTAGTTCCACAATCACACGTTGCAGATCAAGATGATCAAGGCAAGTCATGCCGAGATGCAAAGGCATGAACCAGTTCCTGCAAGTGCTCTCTTGACAGGCCCAGGCTGCGCAGGGTGGGCTCGCCATCCAAACATTGCACTGCCTGCAGCAAGAAAGCAATGGTTGCCGACAAATGTGCCATGCGAATCTTCCCAATGGAAATGACGTGCAGCCTAGCTTCCCTGTGAGTTGGCCTGCTCATGGGCACATCTGCAGCTTTGGCAGGAAGGCAGCAGCAATTGAGGCAAGCATGCGCCATTCTCGCGAGAAGATTCGGGACACGATCTGCGATGCTTCAGTCACACGACTTAAGACTAGAATGCGAACTTGTTGTGGACAAGCATGGTTTCTGGCTGTTCTGAGGCTTGCATGTGTGCTTCTCTAACAAGACCATGATTGCCTTGGCATATGCTTTCCTGGCCACAATGAAGTCGCAGGTTCAAGCAATCCAAGAACAAATGCCAAGAGCTACTGTCAAGCGCCTGACACCCAGGAACATGTCGACAAGCTCCGTAGGTTCTTCAGAAGATTGTCTTCGTTCGAACACTTAGCCTCCAGCAGGCTGCCTACGCACGTGCATCTCTGCATCAAAAATCGCTTGACCTCTTGAAAGACAGGACATGAAGCGCCTCCTCCAACACACGTGCAAGCACCTGAAGTGCCGAACCTGCACGTTGCACACAGTGCAAGGGGCCCCCCCCCCTGCAAATTGCGAAGCTTCCCCTTGAGACCTGTCCGCGTGTGATCGACTGCACCTGGGTGAAGGCTGTCTCGGCTGCACTGCAAGGCGCTGTTGAGGCCGCGGCCTTCTGCTTCTTGCGGGCGAAACCAGAAGGCCTCAAGTGTCGGCATTGACCGCATAATGACGTGCACGAACGGTGACAGAAGCTGTGGCTTCGTCCCAAGCAGGAGGCATCACAGCAGATGCAGAGTCCAATAGAACCTCTCACCACCGACTGTGCATATTTGCAACAGCAACTCTGCATTGTAAGAGAGAAGCAGACAAGTAATACTCTGCACAATGTTGTGTCAAGCATTGCGGCTCTGCTGCTCATGTGCCCTCGCTCATGATTGAAAAGCAACTTCGGGATATCCGTGGCCTTTGCGCCTGGACGAAGCTCATCACCCTGCAGCCACTCTCATTAGCTTTCCAAGGTCATGATGCTTAAATCCCTGCTGCTGAACTGACTCGAAATCTGAAATCAAGGATGTGGCAACAGTGAACGCCAGAGCCCAGGGCAGCATTTCTTCCTCACCTTCTTCTGATACTTGCATGCCACTTGAACGGTCATCATGCGAACACACAGACCAGCCTTGCTGTGCCCAAGGTGCCGACAGCGGACTGGGGCCTGGGCAAGTCCGGGAGCTGAAACATCTCTGCAGTGAGGGCAAAGCGGCCCGTAGGTCGTAGCCTGCCTTCACATGTATCCAGCAAGCCCAGTACATCACCTCCGTCAGCATCAAGCACCTTTGCACGTGCACACACCCACACGTGCTTTCCCCACGTGAGACCTACAAGATTCAGGGGCCCGAGTGAGTATCACACTAGGTCGAGCTCACCCCGCAGGATGTGCACGGTCGACGCATCCTGCCACAAAACTCACTTCAGGTATGGAGATAGAACGAGAATGGATTCTCCGGCCTGCAGCCGCTCATTTGTCTCGAAGAGCCGCACTGGATGAATGTCCTGCGCTGCAGGCTCCGAGCTTTATCCTCAACCTTGTATATATATATATAAATAACCCCTATAAGACATAGCCGTTTCCATTTTATTTTACATTATCCCAATATAACCTCAATATAATCAGATGTAGCATCAGAATGAGAAGGGATCAATCCAATCATCCAATCATCCATCCATCTGCACGAGGAAGGAGAGGGGAGAGGGGAGAAGGGGTAGGGTAGCTGGTATTAGGACATGTAATATAGGGATAGTGGAAAAGAAAATGGAAACAACTATATAGTCTATGGTAGATTTGGGTTTCTCCAGGGCAACCATGATTGAAAGTTGCGGCAACATGCCTGCCAACGGCCCTCTTTTCGAGACATCGCTCCAGTCATTAACATCAATCAGTCAACCTTGCAAGAATACAGTCCCCCTGGCGATTCATCAATACATTGCATCCCTCCATCACGAGTGAGCCTTTGAGCACCCAACACGCCAATCACGGACTTGCTGGCCAGTCTGTCAGTCAGGCAGTCAGCCCGCTACGCCACCAAAACAATCACACCCTCAAATACATGAAAGAAGCATCGCAGTAGACAGATGATTTTTCTGCCATCAGATTAGCCTAGCAAGCAATTGCTGAAACGCCAAGGAGTGCCGAACAAAAATGATCATTCGCTTGTCAACCGCGTAAGGAGAGATTCCGAATCGCTGAAGTTGTTGATCTTGTTTGGTTGCTTGATTAATCAACTTGTCCATCAACTGCTCGGCTTGGGAGCTGCAGCAGGACCATCAAAAGTTGATCTTGCAGCAACAAAGCTGCACCACAGCACAACTTGCGGTGCCACATCATCAAGGACACATGTTTTGTAACTTCTCTCTTGTCTTGGCTGACCTGCAGCGAGAAGGCGCTGCCTTCTCTGCGAAGTTGGACGAGGAAAATGCTCTGCTCCTGGCATGGCGTTATCATGAGGCCAGGCGAGCAGCATTGCTTTGCGTGAACAGGCTCGCAGCCCACCTCTGGATCTGCAGGCAACGGGGCGTGCCATGCAACGCGAATCTCTTCCACGTGCACAATGGGTCCTGCAGTTGCTAAGTGTGAGTACTTGCATGTCTGAACCTCTGCGCCAACCCCGCACAGGGAGGCCTGGCGGCTTCAACGCCCAATCCACCCAAAGCAAATGCTGAACCTCATTTTCCACCTGGTCAAGGCAGGAATTTGCGTGAAAGGAACTCGGAATGGAGCCCACACATGGACATAGAGTCTGATTCGAAGAATTGTTATGGCCTGAGCTGCACAGCGTGGTGGAATGGTCTGCCCAGTCCGGAGTGCATGGCCAAACACATCAAGCCTTTGTTTTCACGTACACTTCGCTCCATCCATGCAATAGCTGATTAGTGTCAGCCTTCCCCAGGCTAAGCAGGGGACTGCTCAGCGACCACAAAACCAGCCGGCCCAGCCGCAACCACAGCCGAGCCGGCTGCCAGGCGGGTCAGCATGGCAAGCTTTGCGTATTCCCGCCATACTCTAACCACAGAAGTCACGGTCAAGCGCAGCACATGATGTTTGACAAAGCATTGCTGGCTATCCTGCATGTTGTTGATGCATTTGTTATGGTTAAGCAGAAGAGGCAGCTCGCGGTGGCCCTCTATGGATGGAAGCTGCTTATGGCGCGCCTTTCAACTATGCAAGACCCGATCGAAACTGGGCTCAAAGCTGGGTCCGAAAACAACACAAGTTGGACAATGGCTTAATTGGCGTTTGCTTCACGTGACAAAGCTCGCGGGAATGGGATTTACATGTTTATCTGCATGCCTCCTGAATGAGCAAGAAACAGCGCCTGCATCATGTCTTGCGCAGAGGAAGCTGTAGCTGCACACACATCTTCCTGCACGTGGCCCATCCTTTGGCGCTGCAAACCGTTTCGGCTTCAAGCTTCTTTGAAGTCTGCCTTTCTAAATCAAAGCCACGATCGGCTAGGGGAAGCTGACGCGCTGTAGCTGCGTCATGCCTGCTCCTACTGGACTCAGTTGAGTCATCTCTGTGCTTCTTTCCTCCTCTATGCACATGGTCAGCCACATCCGGCATCCGTGATTAAGTTCTCTTGTTGATGGGCTGCTTACAATTCAGACTGGCCCTTGGAGTGAAGTCATATCATCCGGCGTTACCACTCTTCCTGGGCTGTCGACTAACGAAAACCCTTATGCCTCATGTGCCCTATGTGCTTATGGTGCCTTTGTCCGGGCGTCGCCGAGGGGTTGAAAAAAAACAATGTGCGAGGCGGGTGCACTTCAAACTGCCCGAGGCCTCACCTTGCTGGAATGGAAAACGGGTGGCCCCCTCCCAGCAGCTAATGCCCCCCGCCGTAGGTGACCTGGCGGACGTTGGTCTGCAAACCTGCCCCGAACACCAATAAAGACCACTCAGCCCACCTTGAATCTCTTAACCGCTTCGATGCAGTGCGTGAGGTCGGCGAGCATGCCTGGCCCAAAGGGCAAGGCGAAGCATACGAAGCCTGGGGGGTGGCAATCGTTGTTCCCTGCCTTCAGAGGCAGCCTTCTCTTGCTCTAGGACTGATTTTCGTGCTCTGTACTTCTCTTTGTCCTCCTCCTGATGCCCGTCTCAAATGAGCTGCAAAGATTGCAAATCAAACCTACTGAACATTGTTTGTCCTGCAGCTCCATTTCAGCCATGACCCCTTCAAGGCGTCGCAGCATGGGCAAAAGGAAGAAAGATTCCTCGGCTTCACACACAACAGCATGAAGATGTCCAATTCGCAGAGGGAACTGTTGGCGGAAGTCCAAAGCGGACAAGTGTCTGAGTACAGCTGCATGTGGTCTGCTACCACCTGAGGTGCAAGCAACCAGGCCATCCGAAATGAAGAAGAAGGCCAAGAAATGGAATCAACACGGAGTTACTTTCGTCTTCCACCATACTTGGCAACTTGCACAAACTCACATGCATGCCTTGCTTCTGCGGGCTCAGGTGCACACGCTGCGGATGACGGCAAAGGTCTGTTCTATGATCCTCAACGCAGACAAAGCAGCAGCGGAACTCCAGAATCCTGACAGCTGCCTCTGGAGCTAAGCGGGATGTTTACATGATCTGAGTCAAACACGTTCAAGTTTCGAACACACGCAAAGAGGATGCCCTTGAAATGCAAGAACGGACTACGTACAGCGAGCGCGTTTGCGGCGTCCTTTGAACCATCTTGACGGACTCTTTTGCCATGACGTCTTCGTCGGGGATTTGCTTAACTTTTTCCCTGTCCACGTGCAGAGGCCATGACGAGTGGAATGATGCAAAGCGGAACAAAGATGGGCGGGCAACCCATTTCGCCACTTGCCTAAGAGCTGTTTGAAGAGTTCCTCGACCCCTGCGCTCCTGCGCGATGCGAGCCTGCACGCACAGGGTGCAGGCGCGCCTGCCACACACAAGCAACACTTGCTTGCACTTGCCTTTGTCGTGTCAAAGGTAGGGGCGATTTCTTCATCATAGCCCGAACCAATCGACGGCATTGAGCCCGACTTCAAGAGCATAAGGGGCGACTGGAACATGCTGTCCATAAAGTCGCACCACATCCTGACATATGGCGGCAGAAGTGTCCAAGCACATCCCCCAAATAATCCGATGCCTACTCTACACTCACACTGGACCCTAAAACATATCTTCTGCATCGCAGGCGCTGCATAAATCGAACTCGATGCTTGTCACAAGCAGTGTCGAAAGCATCAAAAATACATCTTTTCATCGTCTCATTCCTTTGAATTACCTGCGCCTGCACACACAGATTTCAGCAGCAAATCCTGTCAGTGACACACTCCATGTCTATGCGTCAGAGTAGACTGGATTCTGATCCAGGCCTGCTTGGGAATGAGGCGAGAAAACATATGCTCTTCAGGGGAACCAGTGAGGCCAAGCATAAACTGCACCGTTGCCTGCAGAGGCTATAAGAGCAGAAGCATCGCATGGTGCCTGAAACTTTGGTTCAAGACCGCGACCTGCCTCCTTCTGTTCCCCGAAGAAAAACTTCAGTCGTTCACCAACATACTTGGTTTTTGTGCGCATTCTAGTGGGCGCATTCCTGCAGGCAGTGCTGCATGCACATGCAACTGCGAGTCCAATGCTGCCGAGATACTGCATCATTAACTGCGTGATGGTGTCCTGCATCAAACACAGTTGTTTCTACATCTACCACGTGAGCAAGTGGTTGCTACTATCTTACAGAGTCTGCTCGCTGTCGCAGAGAGACACACGCAAAGTTCACACACAACCGTGTCCATCCTGCCACGTGCATTCCTTGAGGCCAGATCCTCTGGCCTCGACCAAGAGTGACTAGCAATTGCAGCGAGATCACAAAATCTGGCCCAGCCACCTGAATAACGTCCACAGGCTCAAGCTTCTTGCCAAGCCCTGCAAATCGAGTGAAGACCTCAACCTCGTACATCACCCTGGCAGGGCGGACTTATTCACTTGTCTTTTATCACGTCACTGTTGTCCAAGTTTGGGAGTCCATCACGCCATTTGGCTGGGCAACAGCAACCGACCATCCAGGACGAGTGACTTTCATAGAGCTGTCCACTGTAGACAAAATATTACTTGAGCTAGCGAGTGACCTGGAAAGCGCTGCAACCCTCCGAAAAGCTTGGCAATGTCTCTGCCCTCCCGCAGCGGCAGAGACCCTTGAAGAAAGGCATGTGCTGTGTACTGTGCTGCGCCATACTTGAAGCATAGCGTGTCACGTGCATTTCATAGGCTGCACATGACCATCCAGATGAGTGACTTCGATGCTGTGAACGCTTTTCCAATAAGTCTTGGCTGTTTGCTTTTCTTGTAAGTCGCACCTGGATGTGTTAAGATTTGCGTACTGTAGCACAAACTGATGGATGGCTTTCATGGCACGTGAACGATATGTGCAGCTCCTATGTCCTATAGCCTCACATTTTTCTAACATGCCAGAAACGACACGATTCCGAACAAGAATTAATTTACATTGGAGCACGCCTTCTGAATTGAGCTCCACCATTGAGTGACACGTCCATAGCCGGCAGCTTGACCGTATCACGTAGGTAAGCAACGTACGAATCCAAGTCCTGCACTGCGTAGGAAAGTGATGGATAGTTGGGCTGGGCTGGTGAAATGCTCAGTCCTCAAACAATGGCTTTACAGCAATTGCAGAGCACAGACCTCAAGCAGTTCCGCAAGTAACGCAGTATCAGCTGGCTGTCCTGAAAGAACGCTGGAAGCAGCTCTTGATCGTCCAGGCTTTTTGTCCGCAAGCAGTACCTGCCATGAATGTCGACATTATAACACGGGCTTGAGCGATATGACCCTTTGGAGAGCATGACATGTTATGAATGGTGCTCGCGCGTTTCGCGACTTGTCGCGTGCGCAACCTTCGTTGCAAGCGAGAGAGGCAACAGTCCGCTTAGTCTTAGTCCCGAGATTCTCTTCAAGGGAGGCCTTTGACAAGGATGTCCTTTGCATGGAGATCAATTACCTCTTGCAACAGGAGTCCGCTTGGTCAGGACTTGTTTGCCACATGGGAGGGTGGTCACTCATGGAAGGACCGCAGTTCCTCTTCCAAGGTCTTCCGATTGTGCTCTGACGAAAGCGCGCCCTGCATGACATCGCACAACTTCAAATCAACACCTTGACCGCACTGCAACACATACACAAAGTCATGAGTCAGCTGCAGGCATCCCTGCCTCCATCAAGAAGATGAAGCTTTGCGCAAACGTGATTCCAGCGGATCTAGTTGCATGGAGGATATTGTCCTAGGACAACTCACTGACAATAGCGAGATCGCAGAAGCCACCCACAAGCAACTGTCCAATCCACATAAATCTCCACGCTGAACTTGCATGAAGAACAGCAAGCGTCCTCGTTTATTGTTTCTGTCTCTTGCCGGATCACCTCCAGCTTCTTCTCATGCTCCTGCGCCGACCCTGTGCTGTACTTGATTACATCCGTTGAGAGAAGGTCTTCAAAACCGGAGCCGCTAGATCCTCTTGCATGGTCTTGAGTCTGGTGAGCATCGGTGCCAGCGCATCTGCAAAGAGCTGCTGGATCTTGATCTGGCGAGCAGAAAGACAATGCAGAAAGCGACAATGCAGAAAGAGTCTCACGAGATAAAATCTCCGCTGAAGTGTACGAGATTTGCGTCCGATTTGCATACCTCTAATCAAGAGCATCTAGCAAGGTAGTTCATAACGAACATGCCAGTCAGTTGGTGGTGGACTTGACGCTTCACATGAGTCGATCAAGTTCCGGCCTCCATGAAATTCCTGAAATTCTGGAATCCAATGGTCATCTTGTACCTTTGCTCAAAGAAGGAGAGCCAGGGCGACTCCCTTTGACGCTTTCTTGCATTCTAACTTCAGTACTTCAGCGCCAGACTTGGCAGACGCACCCTTTGCCGCCAGCGTCTCCATGTCCCTGTCTGCACATTCCTGAGCAATGTTCACAGCTCTCCCCAACGCACACTGCACTGGCATCAGCACTTTCCGGTCGTCCTTGCGCATTTCTCCAAATGCCTTGGGCATGGTGTCCGTCCAATGTGGCCTGGAAATATTAGATTCCAACTCAGACATCAGCACCACAATATGTGGGCATAGCGTCACTTACACTCCAACTTCCCGAGAGTGAGCCGGACTCCGAGCCAGCTCTGAGCCCGCGACAAGGACACGGCGAAACGTGCCAAATGCTGTGGCAGGTCACCATAGCCCTCAAGCCTGGATCGCAGCGGCGTGACAAAGGCCAGTTCAATCTATGCGACAAACGCGTCCGGAATCAGCTGTTCTGTGACTGGTACCATTTGTTGATGTTCTCTGGTGTCAAGTCGCCATAGTACCTCTGCGCATCGGCTCTGCCAAAAAGAAAGCGCCAGGGTCACGTCTTTTTACCAGGCACGAAACATTGGGGGCGTCACTTGTCAAGCTTGTTCCTGATGAGGATTGTGCGCTTGTAGGTCGGATCGACTTGCTTGGCTTTGCCAAGGGTTGCAAAGCCTGGCATGCGGTCACCGGCGGAATAAAACCCACTGTTTGCAGTGAACGAAAGCTGAACGAAAAGGGCCGCCTGCAGCATCACCAGCCTCCTCCACGCACAACATGATGTTGTTCTCATCATTCCTGAGCAGAGGGGGCGCTAAGGCTTGCGCTGCCTTGCCGCGGTTACTGTCGAGCTGGGAAACTTTGGGGCGCAAACATGAACTTGAAGACTAACGAGTCAATCTTTTTTGCCAGCTGCTGCATGGCATCATCTTTGGCGTATGACCTGCACATCATAGCGGGAATGATTGGAAAGCAAAGAAGATGGGCAACTCCAAAGCCCAAACTCACGGGAACTGGAATGTGAGATGCAAAAGCAAATATCAGCAAATCTGCAGCATACGGCCCACCAATTGTCGGCATCTACTTGCGTGGGCTAACTGGTTTGGTTGCAGGGCGCGGCCTGAATCCGGGCAGATCTACGAGTCCAAGGTCTGTACAGTCATGGCCTCGTCAGTGCTCAGCTGCTTGTGAATCCGGTGGAGCTATTCAACTAAGGCAGCTGCCCTCAACCTTGACCCGGATTGGCATTTCGCTAACGTTCTGTCCACAAGCCTCCCAGATGAAAATCTTGGAGCTTCAATCTTGCCAAAGCTAGTCCTCAACGATGGCCTCGTGCGCATTCCCTACTATGACCATGACCTCCTGAACCGGATATGAAGACCATTTCTTGAGGTTCTCGTCAAACACAGACCACCTGAAGAAGCTGATGGTGCTGGGCCGCTTCCATATAATATAGTCTAATATAATATACTATAATATACTTTAATATACTATAGTATGTTATAATATATGGAAAAAAGGTATAACCTACTATAATATAGTATACAATATCCTAATATACTATAATATTTTATACTATATTCTATTATAATATAATATACTATACTATAATCTAATATAATATACTATGGAGAATTGCGCGAATTGCTAAGCCTCGAAGGTGACAAACCCGGCACATTCCGAAACTCCAGGACGGTGGGTCTCCTGGAAAAAATTCAGAGGCTCTTGGGGTTATATAGGGGATTATAGGGCATATATTGGGGTTACATAGGGATGATGGAAAAGAAAATGGAAACTATTACCGTTATAATAGAATATATCTCGGGGTTATTGCTGTTAGATCTGCCTGGAGCCCAAAGAGCCAGAGACAAAGTTGAAGGTCTCCCCAGCCAGGGCCTGTGCAAAGATAGACACAGGACATCTCAGGACACTGATGGACAGATGTGTGTTTCTCTGCCTCGATCAAGCGCGACTTGCCGACGCTCTGCTTTCCGATAACAATAAACTGAGGGATGGGAAAGCTGAGGCTGTCCACCTTCACGAACTTCACGAAAGAAAAACGGAAACATGTGAAACCATGTGAAGTTGCCCACCCGCAACGACATGTTGCCCAGCCTTTCCGTCCAGCCTCGCCTTCACCTCACAAATCAAGTTGAGCAGGTGCTTTTTCCTTCAGAAGGGCGTGACGCAAGGGAAGGCTCGAAACAGCAACAGTGTGCAAGCCAAGCGGTCGCATTAGCAGGCTAGTAGTTGAACCGGTCTCTGGAGTCCTGTTTTCTGCCGCATCTTCCTGAGATTCCCCGATGCAAAGCAGTTATGAAGTCAGCACAGATTCACAGGGAAAACTCTCTTCTGATACTGCACCCTGAAAGAAGCACCCCTTGCAGCTGAGACTCCGCCATGGCCGGCTCTGCGGCACCAAACACTGTCTGGTCTAAACGCTGCAGAATGCATCTCAATGCATCTCATCATGCTGGTTCGCTGTGTGAAGATCAAATCGACATTCGAGGATGGGGCAATCATTCAAGCACAACTTCGCGTACAAGGTGGACGCAGCTCCATTACGTAGCTGAGAGAGTAAGAGAGACAGAGCATGAAAAACATTGCGCACACCGCCCAGCAGACAAGAAAAGAGCGCGAGAAAAGGCAAAACAAGATAAACAGCAGGGACTGAGACCAGCATCACCTGGCTTCACTTTTCAAACCGCAACATCAGGAAAGCAGCTCATGCATCCATTGAGGCCCGATCCTTCAGCATTGCCGTCGACCCGGCCAATTCAGCGCGTAGTGCTTGATTGAACATTTGCTGAGGCTCTGACGTCGTCCCGCGGAAGAGCAGCGCAAGATTCAACCTCTTGTCGGAGCTTGCATAACCTTGGCAGAGCAGCTGGGAAATTATCCGGAGAGCCCTTTCTCAGGTCACTCCTTGGTTGCAGCCAGCAGCTCAGCTGCTCGTGCATCTCTTTTCGCCAGCACCTGCCGAATGATCCGTGTCAAGCTATGCGTTTATGCAGCACATCACGGATGAGGACCCGCCTCCCTGAAACGATCCAAACAGCTTGAGCTGCAAAAGATCCTGCGGGTCACATGTTTTTACTCTGGGATCGAATTGCTGAGCCAAGATCAGAGAATCACAAGCCTGCCGTGAGGCGACGGTGTTCCAGGCCGAGAGGCCTGCTGCATCTGCTGCTCCTGCAGTCTCCAGCAGTCTCCCGCATCTTGCGCAGCATGCGGGTCTACATCGCATCCTGTGCAGTTCAGGCCTCTGCCAGCCCCAGGCGCAGAGCACTGGAGATGTACAGTTGTCGGAAGCATTGGTAGCAGCAGCCCTGCACATGGATACAACTGTTCACGAGGACACACAGCGGGCCAAGTGGACAAGAGTCTCACGCAGATCTCATGCTATAGTTAGAGTACGACTGGAGTCACGGCTTTCCGAGCGACCTTCTGGGCACTGCTGGAAGCCGAGCTAGGTCGGTCCGGCGCATAAGTCGCCGCAAGTTCCGGTTGCTTGGCCTCCACCAGAACTCTGCTCCAATGATGTTTATATCGCAGCTAGGCAACCTCTGCAGATTCCTGCAGAGCTGCGGCTGACGGAGGCCGACTCGCCTGACAAGTAGGAGAGGCAGGGCAGCAACAGAAACCTAGATTCGACCAAGGTGCCACTGCAGGGAAGCTGAGGGACGTTGGTGCGGCGACCGTTGCCTATCGCAGACAAAGACAAATCACATGGTAACTTGCATCTCAAAAGCTGCAGGGGACTGATCTACAAGGATGCCTCCTCCTCCGCATCCGGAGGAGGCAGTGGACTGTCATCGCCAACCGCCGCATCGGCATGCGCAACAGGTGCTGGGACTCAGTTTCCCGACCATTCAGCCAAACAACCATTTGCAGTCAAACATCCTTTGTTTTTTAGGCCAGGACGTGTTGGGCAAAGCAGGCGCTGATCTCCTACACTACGTAGGATTTCCGGCAACAGGTGCAAGTACCTTACGCTGGGCAAGTCCTCGGGAACATCGGTGCCAGCCAGCGGGTAAGTGCCTGAATCGAAAATCCCACGCCTTCAACTCACAAATGCAAGACTAAAGCGTTGAGCTTCTGGCCCGAGGCGTCCCCATTGCTGGCTGTCAATGGGTGAGACTAAACAGCTTGCGCCTGCAAGATCACTTGCACTCATGATGCTGCAAGACACAACTAGTCTCCATCTGGGGCCTGGCGCTGGCTCATCGTCGGATGCAAGGCCCTGACCCGACACAAGCAAGACTTCAGATTTCCTCTTTCTTCTGCGTGCAACCTTCAGGGCTTGCAGCAGTCGCCGTCTGGGAGAGGCTGGCAAGCCTGCCTGCAACATGGGATCTGTTGGTCTTGCAAAGTCAAAGTCCAATCCTCTCATGGCTGCCTGTGTGAGCAGCTCCTCGGATGTTGCTTGCAACGCCTGCCACACAAGCTCAAACACCCCATCCTACTTCAAGGATGCATCTCACAACTTTGAAGGAAGCACTGTACTCCCCTCACCATGAGCTTTACAAGTTGGGGTTGGCGTAATCCTCTGACTAGGCCACCAGCGGGCTTCTTTAACGCAATGCTGAAAACTTTGAAGCCATATTTGGCCAGCTGCTTGCCTCCAGAGAAGTTCCAGGGGCACCAGGCCCATTTGCCAGCAAAGGTGCCTTACACTCACACTCGCGTCTTTCGTGACTCACAGGCTACTTTCGAGCAGCGAGCATACTGATCCAGGCCGTGTTCGACCAAGAAGGAGTGCACCTGATACTGTTGGAAGCAAAGTGGTTGCTTGCTGAAACCAGGTCAAGAGGCCTGCGCGGCTTCTTCATCAAACCTTTCGCTCACACGAAGTAGCCAGGCCATTTCGGCACTGGGCGCCGCAGCTTCGCTGTTCGCAGATCCCGGGCCAGAACCCGGCGCCGAGCAATGTGGGGCAGGGGCAGCGGGGGCAGCGGGGACCGGTCCCAAACCCGGAGCCTTTGGCGGCCGTTCCTTCCGCCTGGGCGGTTGGAAGCGGCGGCCTGCCTTGTCTGAGGCCTTGGGCTCCACCTCACAGGCGAGCACTCCGCCCAAGGGCAGCATTAAGAGACAGCCCGAACCTCGCGGCGCAACTGGCCCATCAACTTCTCCAGGCGCTGCCGCTCCAAGTCTCGTAGCGCCGTGTGCTGGCCATCGATGGAGGAAAACCGTGACATTCCGCTAACTTGAACTCCCACGGAAAATGAGTTATCATTTGCCACAGGGGCATGAGCGGATGGAGACATCTTGCTATCTCTCCAATTCTTGGGTAATCATCGCCGCGGTGAACTCAACTTGCATAGAGCAGCTTGTGGCTAAGACTGAAGGTTGGCTGTTGTTCACTGGGCCTAAGACCCCTCAAGCACCGAATTCTTAGAGCCAACAAACAACAAAGTCACAACATCTCCAAAAGGGCAGCAAGGGCAGCTGCAAGGCTTCCAGATGACCGTACCAAATGCGGCTCTGTCTTTGCTCAAGCATAACACATAGATTTCTCTGCGACTAAGACTAGACTGACTAGATTCGCAGGCAGGGAGGCATGAGGTTATGCACGCCGCCTGCCTAATTGTGAAACGGACTCGGCGTTGTTTCTTGGGGGCATCCACAGAAGCTGTGTCAGTACTAATTATTACAGCTGGCTGATTAAGGAGACCCTCTGAGCAGCAAGTCTCAGCTGGATTTGACAAGCCTTTGACAGCCCTCGACGGTCATACCTTTGAGATTTCCTCCAGGTCGTGTGTGCCGCAGTCACCCAGGTTTGGCCTTGGGTGTGGCCTGCCAAACGCAGTGCTCATGGGGCTGACTGACTTGCTGCGCCCGGCGTGTTTACAAGGACAAGGAAATTTGTCCAGAAGGCCTGCGAACATTTTGGAAGGCCCGAAGTGCATCTGCAACCGCTGCCAGGGCCACGTTCACGCGCAGTTCAAAGCGCGGCAGATCCTCCAACAAAGAGGACTGTTTAGGCACGTTGAAGGCGCGTGCGCAAGCTGCATGGAAAATCCATCAACAGCAAGGCCCTTCCACCCCCAACCAAACATGCAGCCACATCAGTATAGGGTGCTGGTGTCCGTGCGGCAGAGAGGACATCTCCGTGAGGGCGCGGACTGCGAGAACACCTGGACGTAGCATCCGCCTAAGCCATGTGGAAGAAAGGAAGGCGTTCACATCTGTTCAGACTGGAGTGTCACTATGGCTACACGAATGAGGATGTGCCCAGGCTACGCCGGCTGCAAGTGCCCTGCAGTATAGATAGTCAACTTGCTAGGGGCTATTCAGTACCGATCGCGTATCAGGTAGCGGTGTAAGGGTCGAAACTGGGTGTTGAGAAGTGGTGTGGGATCCCTCTTTTCAGGCCTCTACAGAAGGGATGCTTTGCAGGAGTGTTGGTTGGGCCCCATCTCCAACAATTGACAACTCTGTCTCTTGGCAAACTGTGCAGGCGCTACATGGGGCATGCCTTCCTATGGGGAGCCTAGGTTTCGGACGGGAATGCAAGCTACGCGATGCCTAGCACAGGTGCAGGAAATCTGAGGTGCCCAACGACACAGGTTGTGTCCACAAGGAAGTGCGATAGGCTGCCGGAAGATGCTCAGACAGCACGGGCAAGTCAAGACTTCCTGGCAAGGACCCGCAGATCATTTCTAGCACAGTAGTACAGAAGCGCAAGCTTGCACAATTGCCAAGGCTGCAAAGGCCACAGGGAACTTCCCAAGGTGAAATGAATCGTCATGCCCTGCCGACTTGGCCACTCAAGCTAGTGCAGACCGCCCTCAGGTCTGAAAAGCGGCTGAACAGCTGCTGCTTGGCAATCTGAGAAATATTTAGCCTGCCGAACGAGACTGGCTTGTCATCTGCTGTGCTGCGATTCAGGAGTCACAGTCTTAAGGGCATGCATGCTCGCACAAAGGATATCTTTGGAGCAGGTCCTCAAGCGATACGCCATCTGGGTTGGAGTCTTCCGTGAAGTTGAGGAAGTCTCGCCACTGTGGGCCACAATCCAGCCTCTCCCACCCAAGAACATCACCCTCTGAAACTAGAGAGGTTAGGGGAACATCTGCACTCTACCACTGTCTAACGGGAAGGTCCTGGAGCGATGCACTGGTGCGGCACCGGTCTCAGCAGGGATGCACTCGCCTGCCAGGATCATCATAACCACAATACAGCAGCCTTCTGCAAACCTGGATCTCATGCCCCTCCCGGGGTCAGACAAGTGGCCCAGTCGGACAAGGAGATATCGCGGAGGCACCATGCGACCGGATTGGCCCAGTTCCTGGCAGAATCTTCAAGCTCTGCTGGTCACACGGGCCACTGCAAACCACCTCTGCCACTGGCCAGGGCGATGAGAGCTCTGGGACAGATCGATGAGAGACATGCCTCTCCAGCTCCTGTCACACACCATCTGCAGCCTGTTGTTGTCATCCAGACTTTACCTAAGGTTGCCTGTAATTAAATGTCATAAAGCTGGCTGCGCAGACTTGTGGCTGTCCGTCCTCGCCACCTTCAACCTCGCGACTGCTAGGCGTCACCTTGGCTCAAACACTCGGAGGAAGGCCATCTCGACATAAGCATCTTTTACCGTAAGCGCCATGCAGAAGCTTCAGCTCCACCGCTGGGGCCCCAAACTTCCATCGCCTTCGGAAGCTCACTGCTGAAGCGTAACGTGCCAAGCTCCAATGGCATGCTCAAGCAGTTCAAGCGTATGTCCTGCGGCACTGCAGCGCTTGGTTGTGGGACTTGATCATAGATGACTAGAGCCTTGGATTAAGCCAGCAAGCGGCATGCCTGCGGATCGCAGGCCAACTGATCCTTTTCCTAAACACGCCACAGTATAAGCTGTCAGGCGGCAAGTCTATGATTTCGGTCATGTAGAGGCACTGAGCGCGCCCTGTCGTGAGCCTCAGCTATGCTGTCAAGCAATGGGTGCCGACCCGCATTTAGAAGCAAGACAAGGCAACTCAGCCCTTCGCATCGCCAAGCGGTTGCGGAGTTGCATCCAGCCCCGGACGCGAGCGGCTTGGTCGACTCGGGACCTTCTGCACAGCCACTCCGAGTCTCCACTCAGGAACGCAGCTTGGAGCTCGACAGAAGGAAGAACGTTTCTGCTGCTCTCTTCCTCGACCTGCAACATATTCAATCGTCACAGGCAGCACATACATTGTTGGGTGCAGCGACGGCCTCGGCACCTGCAGGCTGCAACTAGTTCACCAATGCATATCACACTTCATGTCCAAGCGAGTGGCTGGAGCTTGCTGGGCTGCAGCTGCGATCGCTAGCACAAGCACCGTCTCCCTGCGTTTCAGCAGCGCATCCCAAAGGACCAGATGCCGGGGGTTGGAACAAATATGGAAGCTGCTCGCCTGTGGAGCGACCGGAGGCCCTGTGTAGCTGGACGCAAAGAAAGCTGGACGCCTCCTGCAGCGTGCTGGTGTTGAAGTGCTGTAACGTGCTCAAAGCCAAGCATTCTGAATATGAGACGCGTGCGGGCCATGAAGTCTCTGAGGCAGATGATCCAGCCTTTTTCAAGTCGTTGTGGCCAGGTGCCAAGCCGGTGCTCTTCCACGCCCTCGCTTGTAGAAATGATAGAGGTAAGGCCGACGCGGTGAAGGCAGAGGTCTGCGGACTTCGGAGCGTCGAGGCAGATTTACCTCAACCCATATCTAGCACCCCAACTTTGCATCAAAAACGGCCGCCATCTCCTACAGACTCCGTTGACTGTCTTGGTGTTTGCTGAAGACTTATGTGCAAGCACCTGCTGAATTTGCTGCAAGCCACGACCGACCCACGAGATGCGCCGGCAAATGTGATATGGCTCCTGTCCATCGGGAAAGCAAAGTCTGAGAAAAGCTCGGCTTCCTTTGCCGACTTGAAATTGGCTATGTTTCTGAGGTGCTCCTTGGAAGCCGTGCCAGCTGCTCCCCGTGCACATGTCCATGAAAGTCCTGCTATGCGCTTCGGGAGGAACTCTAATTCAAAGCAATGCTGTTCTTCAAACTGCCTCCAGAGGATCTACAGGTTCAGGTGCCATCCGAGCCCTGATGCATTTTTCATGCAACTCGGGCATGCTATGGTGTGCCAGACCATCCTCATTGCATCATACAGTTTTACTTGCAATTTGGGTACTTGCAGTTTGGATCCAGCAACTATGCTCGCAGCGCTGTAACTGGCAGGCTCAAGGCCAGGAGTATCACGGACAACTGTGAACCCAATCGAGGCTGCGACGAGCTTGGCGAACGGGAAGGCATGGGTAACGTTCCGAAGTATGGAACCTCTGACATGGCTTTACGAAGTGCGCAGCAACGGATGGCAGATGACGTTTCAGGCCTGGAGGCGTGACTCACACGGAATTTCCAGCACACCAGGCAGCACCGCCTACCGTGCCAGCTACCATTAGTCAGAAGCTCTCGAAAGTGGGCTCATGCTTGTCAAATCCAGAACACATCCTCCTCAAGCCAACAAACGTCATTGCGCTGCAGTGCACCTCTGCCGGAATGGCACCCTCCTCGTTACCAGCATCAGCCAGGCCCGAGATTTCTGAAAGTTCATCACACCTTGCGCTTGAAGTCTTCTAACAGGTTCATCACAACGATGCTGGAGTATGCTGGAGTCACATACCATCTTCAACAAGGCTGAGTACGTGACTCCAGCTCATTATCTGCCTGCCTCAGCGAGTACTTGACTTTCAGGATTGGCTTTCAAGCAGACTTCGCTTGTGCCCAAAGCTGAACAACCAATGGAAAACTGCCCCGTGAGCAGCACAATAAATGAAAAAAAACTCAACTGCTCTCATGGCATGAACCTGAGTTTTTGCAACATATAGGCCTGACATCAGCTAGGCTGGCAGCTTTGAACAGGAGACACTCCGCATGGTGGGTAAGTGAAGTAGGTGTTGCAAGCCCTTCCCAGCAAAAGAAAGTCAGCCGAGCACGCAGCGCGTGGCTCATCGCTCTTGACAAACAGCTGTTGCATGTGCGGCGCGACTTGCTATTTCAACCTCTGATTTAGTTCATCTAACCCGTCGATGGTCCACTTGCTCTGGTCTCATCTGTTCTTGTCCGCTGTTGACGATGGCTGTCCTCCGGTCTTTGGTGCTTCCATGTTTCTGAGCCATGCTGCAGATCACATGTAACATGTACTAGAAGCCTTACTTACAGTACCAAGCCGCCATCTGCGAAACCTATATAGCTTTCCCATAACCCTCCCCCTGAGCGAACCAAAACACTACAGCTATCACTACGCGCACATAGCTCGCAGAAGTTTCTTTGTTCTAAACAGCAAAAAGATCAACACGTTTACAACCCCAAGGCTGCTGATATCAAGCTCGGCTTCTTATCGAAGACTGCTTTGGGAGTCAGTTGTAAGCAGAAAGCATATGGCGTTATGCGGTGCAGATCCTTTGACGACTTTCGAACACCTAGCACGGACCCTGATTGCTTGCGACGGAGCTTGTAGTAGGTCTGAGCGGTGATTCGCCAGCCAAACACATCACGGAGTGTTTCTAAGAAAGTGATACTGAACATGAATGCGCAGAGAACACATCGCCAACCTGCCAAACCAGACATCTACTTCAGCTCTGCTGGCAGCATTTTTCTCTTGCAAGTAGCAGGCAACCAGGAATCAAACAATACAATCAGGTTCCTGTGTTAAGCATGCAGCATGCCCTCAAGTAATACAATCCATGCTCGACGGACTTCAAGAGAGGTCCTTTATATGGAAAGGCTCCGGTCATGCGGCTGTCCACACTCGTTTTCGTTAAATGTCCATTAAAGTCTGAACAAGTACCGTACTTGCTCATTGTACGGCTTTGGCCTAGCATGTATTAACCATACAGCCGGTACGCCACCGCAGCCGCAAAGCAAACATATCAAACTCAAATATCCCCATGAACCTTGCATGGCTCCGAACATGCTTTCATCATTGCCATTTATAAGATCCCCATCAAGCCGCCTGAGAACTTTTACAAACTTCTCATCCCCCTCAACCCCACATCCTCTCGCCCAGCCTACGAATGACCTTTCTTGCTTTTGTTGCAGGCTCCGCTTGGTGCGATTGACTCGCCTCATCTCGCCTCCTTGTGCTCTGCAATGATCAGTCGTCCTTGCTGTCAGTGCACACAAACACCTCCTATTACAAATTGTTGCGCGATCCGCAATTTGTGAAGCAATCGTTTGGAAGAAAAAACCGTTCTTTAATCCATATTTTAATTCTACCAAATGTTTACATCTTCATTCACATTTTCCCATTTTGAACCATGAGGGATCCATACATTTTTTCATCTGGTTGCAAGACAATTCAGACGTCGAGAACTAGGGAGAAGTCCTAGACAAACAAAACAAAGGCCACAAGAGCGCACCTTTCTGTTTTAAAACAGGCCGGAAAGACACCGCACCTCAGCATCTCAACCTGTGAAACAAGCACCGCCGCCACCAGCACCAGCACCAGCACCACCACCAGAAAGATAATGAAAAAGCAGGAAAGACCCCTCAGCTCAGTATCTTCAGCAGGAAAGACCTCTCAGCTCAGTATCTTAAGAAGCACTACGCGAGGTTGACGGTTAAGGGCTTCAGGCTCAAGATTTAGGGTTTAGGGTCTAAGGCTACTTGCACTTCGGGGGTAGCTACAACTGGCGTTATAGGGAATTGCAAGCAGGATAGATTCTGTCACAAGCTGAGACAGTTAAGACGCAGCAAGCTGAAAACTCTGAAGAACCCGCCTGAAACATGCGCCATGAACCCAGGAACAGCAAACATGCCAGCAGCAGGGCAAGTATCTGATGCTTCCAACCCAACGAATGTGCGACCACGCCTCGAAATTCATGGCTCTCGAAAGAGATGGCGCAATGAATCTCGAATTTGGACCACAGCTGCAGATTGAAAGGCCGCGTCAGCATTCTTTGATGGCCCTCTGCACGTGCCAGGATTTAATATGAAACTGCAGCGCCAGCATCCACTGATTATGGCCTGCATGCACCCACACCATCATCGCAGGTACCATGCATACTTCATCTCCCCCTCAATAGAAGCCCCTCACAATCTCTGATTGTGTCTGGGCAACGGTGCCAAAACCTTTTGCTGACTGTCTCCCTATCTCGCCATGTGCATGGGGCTTGCCCGCCTCTAGAAGTTCAGGGAACCCAGCGAGGCCCAAAAGCAACACTCTTAGTTTACAGCTAGAGACAAGAATCGCTGATGAAGTAATGATTTTCCGGTCACAGATCCAAGTCAGCTGGATGCCAATGTACCAGTTTGACAACTCCGATCAACGCATTCCTAACCAGCAGCATAATGGCAGCAACCGCAACAAAGGGCAGGAGGAGCACCATCACCATCAATCACCAGCACCATCACCACCATCACCAGTATCACTACCATCATCATCACCACCATCATCGCCATCACCACCATCATCACCATTATCACGACTCTCATGACCACGGCCATCATCACAGCAAAGCAATCACAACAGAAGAGGAACATGTAGTAGAGCCATATCTTGGGGACTGCATGCGTATCTTTTCGGTTCTTGCGAAGAGTTGTGTCATTTGCTTTTCGTGCCTGCGCACTTCAGCAGGCAGTCTTATCCCTGCAATTTCGCAGAGACAAATCCCATGAGACGAATTGTATGCCAGCATCTGGCAGCACGGGGTGCTTTGTGTGCATCTTTGTGCACAGACAGTACCTGTACGCCTGGTCTGTACTGCACCTTGCCACGGATACAACCAGGACAGCAGCTCATGCCGCAAACTCGCTCAGAAGTTGCGCAGAAGCATCCACAAAGGCATCTTGTGGCCCCGGGCAGCTTCTCTGTGCATAAGTGCGCCTGTCAGCAGCACCTTTTGTTCCGATCGGGAGCCTCGAAATCTGTTGTGCAACAGCAGCTGATTAGCTCTAAACAAGGCAGAACCCTTCACAGCTCAGGTAGACGTTAAACAGTACTGCATAGCTGCCTCGCGTCTTCGAGGTGCAGTAAGCACGATCTCCTCGTCAGATTCCGGTTTGTGTTGCTCCGACGGCAAGCCTGACCAGTCTTCTTGCAGGCTTCACAGCTCTGCTGTCTGGTGCAATGAATCTGTGCAGGCGCGGCTCCAGCCAAACGCTAGTCTAATATGCTGTGGGCAGCTACTTCAGTTCCGAGCACTCCAGCCTGCTGCCAGTCCCTGGAAAACTTTATCCACGGGGGCGGCATCTTTTGCGGTTGCCTGTAGGGCAGACATGCGCAGGCGAGTGCAGATGCCATTACATGCCCTTCTCTGATTCTTCAGATCTTGCTGAGAAGGTGAAGGTCGTCGGCTGAAGTAGGCTCGGATCCGATGAACTCGTTGCTGTCACACAATATATCAGCAGACTCAGACTTCCTTGAATCCATGTCTTGCATCTACCATTGCGCAGGGGAAGCCTCGAAGAAGAGCATGTTCAGTTCCTTGGCCAAAGCCTCGCCTTCGGAGAACTGCACGCATCTCTGCGCCTGGCAGGAACAGCTTCACCATTCACACGTTCACCCCATGCTTTCAAGGCTGCCGAAAGTGGTCTAAAACGCCTAAACCTGTACAAGTTTCGGAGGCTTTGCTTCGCTGCCAACCACCAGACAAAAAGTCACATGGCCAAGGCAAGCGGTCTCGTTTGCTTAGGACTCGCAGCGCTGGAGTCTGTGAGGAAGGCACGCTGGCGTCGGTTTCCGAGCAAAGCCAGCTTTGTACACCAGCAAATGCAGGAGCCATGGGGCCTTCAGTGCTTCCTGGTTAGACCCCGGGTCGGATTAGATTGCAAGGGCTGTTGCAACCTCCAGCTTTGACCCTGAGCTCCCCACGAAAGAGTCATTGCACAAGATGCCATGACACGCGCGCACAGGCTAAGACGCCAGGGTCGAACACAATGCAATTCACTGCCCTTGAGGCGATGAAGCGCACCCTAGGGAAAACGCGACTTTGTGCCGGCAACTCTACACAGAGGCATTCATGTACAGCAAGGTGCTGCGGATCCATTTGTCCACTTCTGCCATGCCGTGCTTAATCAAAGCAGCTTCGCCAGCTCTGCTACAATCATCGCTGTCGTAGCTTGCATTGCTGACTTCATCCTGCCAGGTCGAATCTCACGTGCAGGACTCTGGGGGGCAGCCCATGCTGCGAAAGAAATTCGCTTGCCTGCCTCCTTCAAGCTTCGCGCATTGCATGCATCGCATGGTGTCCTCAAGGTGTGGCTTTGCAATTTTCACGCTTGGCTACTGCTTGGCTCATTGTCTCATGCCCAGAGTCAGACCAGCCTGCAGCACATGGACGAGCTATCAAGGAGACTGGGCATGGCATCCATCGCTGCTTGTGGTCGGGGTTGGCATGCTTCGCGCAGTAGGCCATGGCTTTCATGTGCATCACTTTTGGCTCCCAAGCTGCGGTGGCATCCTTGGGTCTATGCAGAAGGCTCAAATTGACTTCTGGAAACATGTGAGATACAGTCAGTATTTTTCCAGAACATTACACTACAAGAGGGACCCCTATACCCACCTTCATGCTCTTTTGGTAAGGCTAATGTTAACAATAGCTCATATGAGCCATAGTCTAAGCTCCTAGTATCCCCCTTAATAACCTCTATAGTGCTCCGCTACATAATCCCCCATACACCCCGCCTTTAGGGAGTTTAGACCCTAAACCCTATATAATCCCGTTATACTACCTCCCTATATAATCCCCTATATGTCAAGGAGTTTAGACTATATAGCTCAGAACCCATTATAGTAGTTTCCATCTTCTTTTCCATTATCCCTACAGAACCCGAATAATACCCCAATATATCCCTTGACAATACCCAAATGGGGAGAAGTTGAGACTTATCACCCGACGGCCTGGCTCTGCTCTCTTCACGGGCTGGTACGCAGACCACGTTCGTGGCGTGTCCAGCTCACACAAAGGTGCGCCACTTGTGACGGACACCATGTCACCTGTAGTCTAAACTCCTTAAAGGAGGTTATACAGGGGATTATGTAGGGGAGTATTATAGGGCTTATTGGGGCGATACTGAGAGTTTAGACCATAGCTCAATTTCTTGGTTGCACAACAGGCCTGCAAAAATCTCGGTAAGAAACACACAGAAGCCCAGAATCCTGCAGTCCGCGGTCCAATTTTGTTCCTTTAGGATCCTTTAGGAAACCTTCATAACCAGAGCACGACTTTTTCTAGGAAGAAGCACAGCGCGTGCTGTGCGCAAGCAAGACATTCATCAACATATGACAGTCCAGCCGAAGTTTGAACATTTTGTCAACCCCGGTATTATTCCACGTGTCCTGCCTCAACCTTCAAGCGCCACTGACTCCAAGCAGCAGAGATGGCAGGCCCCACACACCATTGCTGGCTTGTGGCAGGATCGTAGTGTATCAGCGCGTACTTAAAGCAATTTGCTGCGTACCTGTGCTTGCATGACATAATTCCCGGCAACCACAACATTAGATTTGAAGTGTTCTTCCACTGCTTGGCTTTCGTTGTGCAGTGTTTGTCGGGTACTGTGCCAGCCTCGAGACTTCTTAGTCACCTATGCTTTACCACGTCCAACGTCCATCTTGGCGAGAAGGCCGCAGCAGCAGGTAATCAGCACAGCAACTTGTGGATCGCAATCTGCCTAAATATCATGCACTCCCACCCGAAAGCCTCCAGGTCAATCTTGTTCCCCACCAGAACAAGCAGCAGATCTCGACGAGATCTTCCCTGGCCATATTTCCACACATCCAGTCACCTTCCGAACAACTTGTCCTAATCTTGCTGTCCTCGAGAGCCAGCTCCACCCAGCTGCCCACACTATCGAAGGACTCCTGCAGAGGATATCCCTCTTTGAACTGAAAGGGGGCACATGCAAGCTTCGCTCAATGCTGTCTGCCGGCTGAATGATGAACCTGAGGCCGGCACTCTTGAAGTTACGTCGTACACGACAACACAGGCCGAGCTATCTCGGAGATAACCTTTGAAGTAGAGTTCAGAGGGGCCACTTGCAGGGCCAGGTCTTCGCAGACTGCATCGAGGCCAAGGCTGGGCATTAATGCCCGGAATCTCTCTTGGCCAGCTGTGTCCCAGAGCTGCAGGCGGACTTGGCGGCCCTCAGCGCCGAGAGGTCTGATTTGAGGTCTGTGAATGGTCCAAGCACCTCGAGGCTGATCACCTTCGCAACAAAATCCATGCCAATCGTAGCTGTATAATGTGGATCGAAGGTCCTCGCACATACGTGTCCATAATGCATGTTTGCCGGTTGCGGCTAGCAGCTCACCTGTGAAGTCCATCAGTCCTGTTCACGAATTGGCGTATCAAGGCTGTCTTACCAGTGCCGCACTGGCCCAGGAAGACCACCTCAGCCACCCTGAACTCACTGAGACCTCTGATGAGCACGAGAGGCTCAGCCATCGCAAGTCCTGCCTTGTGCGCTCGCGCTGGGCGGGCTGGTCTGGAAGCGGAGCTGCCACCAGAGGCCTGAAAATTCAACTCAGCGCCAATAAGCTTGCAAATGACATCTAAAGTAACCTGAACAGGCACCCACCTTGTCAAGCGACATGGGAGGCAGCTTCTGGATGCCGAGACCAAAACCGCAAAACGTACAAAAAATACCACATGCTACGGAAGATTTGGGAAGCCAATCATCTCCTCTGCTAGTCTTGGTCTGACCTTTGTCTGTGCCTCTATGTTAAACCCATAGCGCTAGAACTTGCGGGCTCCATGGCAATAGCCGAACCCTTGCTATGCAAGTGACTTGCGTTCGAGTCTCACTTTGCACGTGGCAGAGGCAGACAATCAACACCTACTCAAAAACTAAAGTTTGAGGACATCGCAATCTCAGCACTACCTGCAACGCACTTTTCTTGTAACGCTGCATACACCATGTTCGGGACTTCTGGCTACGACCTTTGAGGCAGCAGTTGCAGAAGTTGGCGCCCCTTAGCCCACTAGCATGAAAGACTATGATGGCTACAGCCACACACCATGATGACCCCTTATCAGCAGTTCGAGGAACAAACTACTAAGCAATGCTTACAAGGTGAAACTGCAACTCCTGCTTTGAGCAGGTTGCATCGCGAAAACCCATGAAGGTCATGAGCAGGACGATTGTTGACCCACACGTGACATGCAGGGTTGGCTATAGAGATGGATAGTATACATAACGGACATAGCGGAGGCGAACACACTAAGCACCGCGGCTTCGCATGGCAAGCTCCCGGGCCTTTCCAGTCTGTGCAATCAGCACCTGCAGCAATCGCGACTGCTAAGAGCTGCTAGCTGCTAGCCTGTATATGCCTCCTTGTTTCTATGTTTCTGCATAAGGCTTTTCCATTACACCTTCGCAAGATTCGCAAGTTTGCTGCGCAAGCTGTACGTTGCCGACAGTTCCCGACAAACTGTCACATCATCTTATATAAAACTGGAATCAGGCTTCCATGCATGCGCCTTCTTGTGGGCGCTGTGCTCGGGCATCTCTCTTCGCAAGAGGGCTAAAACACAAGCTTCAATCTCTTTGATTGCGACTGGAAGACCTCAACATGCCGCCAAAGAGACTGTTTGAATGCTCACACGTGCAGGGCAATTCTATCGAGGCAAGCCGCGCTCTCTTAGAAGAGTGTCCCCATCGCAAAGGAAGGCATTCGCATCCATCACCTTGCAGCACGCAGTGCGGTGGCTGAGCACTCTGCGAGGGAGTCTGGTTCGGCCTCCGTCCCGATACGCTTGCCATCCATAAACACCTTGTAGGACGAACCACCCCAATCCACAATGATGTCCGGATGGAAGTCCTCGCATCACGAAAACGGCTAAGACCTGTCCCGCAAGTGCTGGGCTGCCTCAGGCCCGGGCAAAACCTTCTTCGGGAAGGCCGCATCCCTGTAAGCAACGTACATATATCATTTTGCAAGGTGCAGCGGCATGGAACCTAAGACCTATAAAATCAAGAAGCTGGACCCTTTCTGCAAGCCAATGAACAAGAAAACTGCTTATCCAGGCCTTGGTCAACGACAAGCTGAAGTCATTGAGGAGCTGCGGAAACTTGTAGCGCTTCGTCTGAGGGTCCTCTACACATCTCTATGCAGTTGCTGATGCCTACAACCTTAGATGAAAGCGCTGCACACACCGAAGTCAAAAAATGTGCACTTGAAGCGTTGCTTCAATCGCTACATGCCCCGTGCCACTTTGATGGGTGCTCGCATTGAAGCCTGTCCTTCGCTCTGTTGTACACGCGTCTCTGCGCCAACGGGAAGGCCTCCGAGCTCTTACAAACCACACGACAAGGGTTTCGAAGAATTGCTTCCTGCTGTCACAAGTTGCGATTGCCTGGCCTCCTTCAAGGCAACGTGGAAGCGTTGAGCAGCGCTCTCTGCTGAGCTTCTTGCGGCAAGCTCTTGGAGATCCACCAAAACCGGGTCGTTTGGTTTGAGAACTGGCCAGGGTGACAGTCACGCAACAAAAGTTTTAGTAGACAATCCTGCACCACAGACAAGAAAACCCCACATACCATAGCAACCGGGGAGCAATACCCAATGGAGTTGATGAGCACAATCTGCCTTGGCATGTAGTTCCGTCTATGCACCAAATCAAGAGAGTGTTTTCGCGATTGCCGGCAAGAAGCTGGTAGCCCAACGCAGACCGTTTTATGCCAGAAATCAAATCCTGCAGAGCTTTGCCGTTGACGACCTGAAGGTTGTGGACAGCTGAGCTAGTCCGGCACTAAGTACGTTTTAGGATTACACTTTAACCTTCAATCCACACGTCAGTCCTGATGAAAATATGCTTGAACGCTTACATGAAGCCTATATTCGCAACGGATATTTTTGCCCAAACCGAGCAATCTTGGCACGTCATGTAGTAGTAAAGCTTACCCGGACAGGTATCCCAAAGCAAATAAATTGCCGGGACGTGGCCTTTGTCCCAGTTGGCACTGACACCGACAAGCCAGCGGCATCATACGCCTGCACAAAGGAAGAGCGTGCATCTGTCAAGATACTACACTACTTCCTGGATACATATCCCGTGACTTGGAGCGCGAAAGTGCCTGAGAGCCCTTCAGGCAAACATTTAAATTTGTGGCAAAGCGGCTCAACCAAAATGTAAGGACACTTGTTTTCTGCAGGTGGGTGTATGCCTTCAAGCAGGGGTCCTTCAATCGCCCCAAAACGCCGCTGACAGATGGGGTGCTCTAGAACCCGCTGTCCGGGCTTGGGCGAAAGAGCCCACCCCTAAGCAATGCTTTAGACTGAATGAAAAGCCCCTGGAATGGGCACCGTTCAGCGAACGAGCTGCGGATGCCGTCGGCTACGGTCACTGTAAAACGCATGCCAAGGACAAACATCTGCTGCAAGGCGGATCAACCAAAGTCTTTCTGGTGAGTGTGCCTTCAGCCAGGAGGCCCTCAATCGCGCCAGAAAACCAGGCGACGGGCAGGGTTTTTTAGCAACACCCGGTGCCCCACTCCCCCGCAAAACGGGCATCGAAGTTAAATAGATTCGAGAGGCCTTTAGGAGGTGAGTAGCCGCCGCCTGGGACGGAGTAGTAGACGTCATCGACAGCTGCCGCAGGATGCGCAGGATGTAATCCAAAGGAGTGTCCGCCCCGACCCCTGATGGCGTCATAGCCTGGAAGTTGGGTTCGAGGATGTTCGCATCCCAGGTCACCGGAGAAAAGGTCAGGCGCCACGGCTTGCTTTGGGTTGAAATCCAAAAAAAAGGAGGGCAGCCTTGCGTCACGCCTGCAGCCTTTGTTGAGCGCCCATTGCCCGGTGGAGTTGTCGATGAAGGCCCTCCAGTCGCTCGGGCGGCGGTGAGCAAAGTTCACCCTATCAGGATCTGGGCAAAGATGTTGAGCACGCACATGTACGACCGCCGCAAGGCGAACTTGCAGTTGAGCCCAGCAATGTCATTCCAAACGTCCTCACCGAGGCGCACGACGTAACCCAAACCACTGTCGGCATGGTCGCGAGTGCTAGGAGCGCGTCCCGATACCCGGATGCCCATAGACATGTCTGAGGGCCGTCTGGCCCGCCTGCTCAAAGACAATCTTCATCAGTCTGGTTCAGAAAATGGTTTTGCCTGTAAGGCCTCCAAGGCATTGTGCCAGCTCCAGTGCGCAGGTGTCCGACTGGTGATATTGGCCACCCTGCATTCTGTTAGCGCATTTTGTCGGCAAAGCCGCACCAAAACGCACGAAGTCCTGCACGCTGCGCTCGGTCGAGAGAGGCGCCTGCGCGTTGGAATCCATGGCCGAGAGACCCAGCAGGCAGCATTAGTTGAAGCTGCAGTGGGTCGAGTCCAGTTGCAGAATCCGCCCCATGCAAATCATCCACATAATGGCTGCCCAAGGAGGGCGTCCTTTGCTCCATTAAAGTTCCACACCGGGCAGCGGCAGCAGCTGAAGCACAAGGCCACCGGCCATGGGCGGTCAACGTTGAGAAGGTCGTGTCAGTCGTGTCCCCAGAATCCACCCTTGCATGCAACTTTGGCCGCCATGTCCAAAAGGTGATGGGTTGGCACACCGTGTCGCCGGCGTGATGGGGCGGCCCATAGCTTGTCACCCAAGGGCAAATGAAGGAGGAGAGGCGCCAGTGCAAAACACTCGAGTTCGCTCCGCTCGGAAGCCTTCCATTTGAGCTGCCTCTTCGACTCTAAACTTAGGCGTCCCGCTGCTCCTGTGCGCCACGCCTGATCATGGCAAATGGTGCTGCTGCTGCGTGGCTGGCAAAATCGTTCTCTGTGCATCAAGGCACACGTGCGCATATCCCCCAGGCTACAACATCTACTCCTGCAGCGGTCCCTTGGGCGCGGCTTCTCCCGAGCGCGACGCCAACTGCTGAGAAGGCGCCCAAACAATTGCCACGTCTTGGGGGCTCGGAGCTGCTTGGTTCCGAGCTGGTTACTAGCACGAGCGCACCAAGACCAAACTCTATGAGGGCTTGACGCTCGGCGACATCATATGCCGAATTGGCCCTGCAGGCCCAGAGTCTGCGTCCACAATAAGGTGGTGATGGATTGCCGCTGGGGCGAACGTTGCCTGGTTTGGATTTTGCTCGGCTTGTCATCGCATGCTGCAGTGTAGGGGGCACATGGAGTGGGACCTCCGCGCCGCCCTAGGCTGTGCCACCGGCTGTCGCTCTTGCGCCCATGGCAGAATGGCTGTGTGGTGTAAAATAATGCTTGATGACATGTTCACCCAGTCAAGGGCAGAGGGCACTCCCATGGGTCCAGCCTGTGTGGAGGAAGAGCCCACTGACAGCAGCAGGAGCTTCGGATCTGTCAGCTCACCTCTGCTTTGAATAGACTTACTCGAGCTAACATCTTCAATGCCAATCCTAGCAGCATATCACGTTCCCAGCATGAGCATGGCCTATGAACTCAGCCAACGTCGGTTGCAAGCATGCGGAGATATGTACTGCATGTGGAGCACCGCTACTCGCAGGCAACAATGCAGTTTCGGCGCAAAGGCCAGCTTCAGTCAGGATAACGTTGTTCTCCTGCAGCAGCCGGAGTAGGTTCTTCGATGAGCCATTCAAGAAGACGCTTACTTGTTTCTCATGCAGCTTCCTGTAGCGTCTATGGAAAGGGCTTGGCAGCGGCTTACCGGCCGAAAAGAAACAGAGACGGCACAGCCCGATGCACAGAGCCCAGCAAAGCTTGAATTGAAGGCTCACACTGCCCAACTATGGACAGACCCTGGACGAAACTGCAGAAAAGTGTAGGAACAAGCTAGCACACCTTCAATGGCACTGTCGTCCTCTGAATCACATTTTGCATAAACAGCCCGTCAACGGCCGCAGCTGTCTCATTTGTCACTGATGTACCAGAACATGAATAAAAAAAAAATCAAATTTGCCCGGGTGGGCTTACACCTTTATCCAAGACCATCTGTCACTCGTGTAGCGCCATTAGCGGACATGAGCGCTGCCTTGCATTCCAAATCGAAGAGAGCAATCCTCTCCTCAGCTGTGGAGCTGCACTGAAAAGATACAAAGCACAGTGACGGGTAGTGCCCAAGCGCTTTCTGCCAGCAAGCCTCCATTCGGGCCTCATCCTGAACGCTCTACTGGTATAGGCAACTTCAGGAAACAGTCCGACACAAGCTGATGACCCCTTGAGCAGAACAAAGTTGCAGCCCTGCCACTTCAGCCGAAAGGAAGATGTGCCGTGTTTGCAGTGTATGAAGCGACGACACTTCGGTTTTGTCCAGCAGGACCTTGCACAGGGTCAGCTCATAACTAAGAATTGGAGTCCATTCTGGGTTTGCCGCGGATTTCTCGTATTCCGCCATGCTTGCATCAAGGCCATGCTGGAATGACAACTGAGGTGACCACCCAGTCCAGAAACTCATCTACGTCCTCATGTATATGCTGCTGCAGTGATGGATGTACCATTCCAGTTCATCATGGCAATTAAGCGCGTGGAGGGCAATCAAGACACTCATAGGCAACCAAGACACCACAAAGCCGTCTCCATTGGTATCCAAGCCTGCATGGCTGGGCTAGGCTCAAACAAGCAGCCACAGTCTGTTCTGTAGTGCAGAGGTTTGCAGCAGCCTGAAAATGAAGCAATCTTCATTAGATTTCAGTTTTTCACTATGACTTTGACCGTACCAACAACTGGGAAAAGGGAAAAGGGAAAAGCGAAAGTGCATAATGTCTCCGAGCCTGCAAGAAGCCGGTCCAGGGTCTCAGGCAGGTTGGACCTGCAACAGCAAAGGTGCGAAACCACTCTTCTCTCCTACCGCTTGCTGCAAGCTGACAGCACAAATCCCTGCAGACAGTTTCTGATTGGCCAACTGAACTGGGGACAGGACCATCTAGCCTTCTTGAATGTGCCGACTCTGTCAAGAACGTAATACAGTTCGTCCTTGTCTATGTAGCCATCCTGGGGCGGGCGGCAAATCTAGCATACGACGCCCC